TTTTTGCGATTGGTTTAACTCATATAAGGTTTCTTTCTCGGGAGCCTGCTGTAAATTCTTTGGGAATTTAAAACATTTCTAATTGTTGTAATGCTCACACAAACCCATGGAGTCGATTCAACCATATTAGCTGAGGCACTAACTGGATTTTTTATCGCCTCAATTTTGATTTTTCTTTTCATCCTCTCATTTATGTTCTTTGGACGTCCTTTGCGATCTCGAGGCCATCTTCTTTTCAGATGCCTAGGAGGATTTGAGGTAATGAAGGAGAAGCCAGGTCAGAAACAACTGGATTTGGATGGTTGGGAAGTTTATCATGGAAGGATTGGGGTCTGGTTCTAGCCAAATCGGCAACATATGGGACGTTGAGGTTACTTGATTCGTGACAAAGTAAGGAGCATTAAGGATTTTGGACTGTAAGGATTAGATTCGGGAGCAATTTAATGGTTTAGTTGAGCCCCAAAGCTTAACTCTGTATGTTCAGATAGGCTTTATAATAGTCTTGTAGATCAGTCTTTTGTAATGGATTGGCAGTTTAGACCGTTTGTCTAGTAAATGTTGTAATAGTCGGAATCGACGAGCAGTCCCCTGTCTTTTCAGTCTTGTATTCCATGTCAGTCGTTTGTCCAGATGTAGTCCTTAGTAACGGATCTCTTCGACAGAAATAAGTGGGGTATTATTAAAGGATACTGTGGGGCAAGAGGTCGTGGGTTTACAACGAAGGTATAATTACTTAAATTCATAATATAAAGAACAGACAAGATGTGCAAATACCTTCAGTCACTGTAGATATATTTAGTGAAGTTTATAGCATCCTGAACCAGTCTAATTTAATTTCGGGTAATTTTTTTTTTCATTGGCGCGACAGACCGTCGAGGTCCAATTTCTTAAATACATCACGCGTTTCCTGATGTGGTTTTCATTGGGTGGGTCCGTCACTCCTACGCCTATTTTTGTGAGTGCCACACATTGGCTGACAGGCCTCACAAATGCCATGAGGGGAGATAGTGAGTGCGTATTGCATAATTTTATGCTTGAAAAAATCCCGGGTAGGGCCGGGCTCGAGCTCACAATCTATGGGTTGGCAGACTGGCACGTTACCACGCTGCTGCCGTCAACCCCCATATTTTCATGTAAATCTGTAAAGTCTTGTAGAAGTACCTAGTATCTTTTTAATGTTATTTTTGTGATTTCCGGAACAAAAATCGAAGATTAACTGAATAAATAATTGTGATGAGCCTATTGGAGGTTTTATTTCATTCAAAATTAAGTGTTGATCGTTGTAGATTTTTTACAAATCATTATTTAAACATTCCATCGTTAAAAATAAATTCCTAATTTCACCTTCTTTTTTTTTTTTATAATGACTGATGTACATACAGATAAACTTAAGTAGGTAGATAAATTATATATTAGAAAAATACTTAAACGACCAAAATAAAAATAAAATAAAGATAAGTTGGTAAAATAAACTATTTTAACTTTACTAACGAAATTCTTCAAACTGATTTACTCCTGCCAACATTCGAGCAATACATTGATACTCTTTACCAAGATTTCATATTCGCAAAAATTGACAAAAATTTGAATCACGAGAAAGGCGTTGTATCTACACTAGCTTTATATTGAACTATATAACTTTTTTGGGTTGCTGCTTGAATGAGCAGATTAGGTATAGGTACAAAAATTCAATATCGCATGTTTTTTTTTTTTTTTTATAAAAAATAATCAATTTTGATTTATTGTTGATCTGATTTAGATTATTTCGATTTTAATTTTATGGAAGTAAATATCATTTTGAATATCATTTTCAAGACACAAACATTTAGGCATATATGCCAATATCTATTTATTTTAATACTTTTTCTAATTAAATTTATAGTTTAGAATAGAAAATTATAAATAGATAAGGCAAAGTACGGTTTAACACGTGAAGAATCTAGTTCAACGTGAAAAAAAGAAGAAGTAAACATAACAGATAAATAATCATGCAATAGTATTAATCGGTGGTGTGTTTTTTTCTCAATGACCCCGTTACTAGACATTTTTGATATACTGAGGGGGAAGGGATTATCTACAGGTTGGCACTCTATTCTAAACATGACTGGGAGGGGGAAGAGTGTCAAGTTTTCATTTTCGTGGGACCACCACAGAATTAAAAGTCGAACCCCAGGCCGGATTCTAACCGGCGCCACTGCAGTCACGAGCCGGTTGAACTTGGCGAACGTCCCTAATCGGTAGTCTTGGGTAATTATGAAGAAACATCTCTAGAATAAACTTCACTGTTATAAAAAAAAAATTGAATGTTCTGTTTTTAGTGTATAATCTACTCCCCCTTCCATACTCCATCTGAATTCTTAGTGGTTATTTGTGACTTCTTACTTCTGTTTTCAGTTTTACTTATTAGTTGTAAATATTTAGCTAATGGATATTTTAAATATTAAAATTAATTTTTGAAGGCGTTAGGATTTGATAATCAATTGTACTCATTTTGGGTTTTTACTGCAACGAAATCCGGTCTATATCCTACGACATACCAGAAGACTTAACAAGAATTAACAATACTAGGAAGGTGATTAGGCGAAAGACTAAAAAGGTGATGGGCAAGGGATCTTCTTTCTCAAGTAAGGTATCTGAATCAAGTCCGGAACTAGATGGCACTGTTTTTTTTTGTTGGTTTGGCACTTTGTTTCTCCATACTTGACAGACAGTTGGTTTTCGTCTAGTAGTCAGACAATAGGTTGATTGTGACATGAGATTCAAAGCCAAAGGTACAAGGAAAGCAATTTATAGATTTGGGGATGATAGCTTGTAGAATGTTAGGGTCGTTTAAATGTATTTGCAGTGAAAGACCGCAGCCCAATAGCTTTCGCAATAAAATCTTTAATGTGCTATAGATTTATACGGTTACAGGTCGAATTTTACAACAGATATTACTGACTTTACGGCTGTTTACAGTTCTTTCGATGATTTACTTTTCAGTTTGTTTCCCTCTGAAGCTACCCAGTTTTTCCATTACCCATGCCAACTATTTTTCAAAGTTAATAACCACCAAATCGATAACATATAATTTATCCTGCGACAGTCACGTGTTCGACTTCTTTAAAGTTTAGAGGAGAGTAGTATTATTTTTTTTCTTTTATGGTCAAAATATATAAGACATTAATTAATAATGTCAAAACATTATATAATTTTTGTTTAATAAGTATTAATTAATGCCTTTAATTGATAATTGTAAATAATATTTGTTAGTTAATTTAAAAAAAAATTGACTATTGTCTTAAGAACCATAGAAAAAGTTAAAAAAAATAATAATAATAAATATCATATTCATCCATATTTTATGCGCCTTCTATGCGTTCTTTAACGCTTTGAAATAGTTTTTCATAAGCGATCTGAACGATATTTTGTCAACGAAAATTGAATCCTTCCAGTTTATTTGTAGCGTCTGTATGATTTTATGGAATTAATTTATTGCGATCTAGTTTTCCGTTTTTGTGAAGTTTTCATCTGTATCAAATATAAATATATCCCGAATAGAATTTAAATATTTCTTTTGGATGAACATTTTATTTACTGACGTTTTAGAGCATTTTTCTAAAAGATCGTTAGGTAATCAGAAACTTCGGTTTTATGTTAGAAACCAATAGATTTGAAGGGATATGTAGTTTATAATGAAATGAAAAATAGTTTATTAAAACAGAATTCATAGTGGAAGTAATACACATATTTTTTCCTTTTCTTTTTAATCATTCTTGGTACTATTCTTTATCATGAGAATTTTTTTTAAAACATCCTTTCTACATATTAAAATTAAATTTGTACAGCTAAAACCCATGAACGGTCTGGGGTGCAGTACTTTGTAAGGAAGTACGGCTACTAGACCAACAGTCGTGCAAGGAGGTGATTAGATCTGAATCACGTTCGACCGCCAGATTTTTCCTCACTTAATGAGGCAAGGTGGAACTCGGAGAGCTCCCGAACCCATGGGGCTGACTCGCGGCTTCAGCGAAACAGAAAATAATTATATGGCTCAGCCGCGTTCGTACATTGGAGGTAGTAGCACTGTGCCATACCACAGAGCGACCCACTCCCACTCTTTCTTCATATATATTTAAATATTTTTTCTAAAATGACTAAAAAAAATATTAAAATCTGTACCGCTACAACCCATGAAGGGTCAGGGGCTCAGTACTTTGTAAGGGAGTACTGTTACTAGATCAAGGGTTGGGCAAGGAGGTGATGTCCGAATCACGCTCGACCGCCCAATTAAGGCTACCCAATTTACGAGGCTGGGTGGACCCCAGGAGGGCAGAACCCACAAGGTTGACTCACGGCTACAGTGTAACAGAAAACAATGTTCTAAAATGATTATCTAACATTATATACGTATTTTTTATATCCTTTAGGGTGGTTAAATAGTTGAGTCGAAAAGAAATTTTAAAAAATCTTAACTTCTTGCTTGTAAAGTGTATTGATTAATGCCGTCATATTTGTCAGGTTTACTTACAATTTTTATAATTAGTATTCATCCCTCCTTTTCAGTCATTCCTGGCACAGAAGCCATTGACAAAAATTTCCCAATGTTTCCCTCCACACTTGGCAGCATTCGACGATCGTTGTCAATGATGCACCTTGGCTGACAGAAATTTGGCACTTTTTTGAAAAGATTTTGAAAAATATGGAAGCTAAAATCAATTATCCGAATATTTCATCCGCTATAACGAATGGACAATTCCATTTTTCCCGCTATATCATATATTTTACTGCTCTGTTTTATTTATTTTTTTCTGGAGAGCGAGAATACCCAACCGGCCACAAAAAGCCAAAATTTAATCCGCTGGCTGTTATAGCAGTTATAAAGAGAGGGCGAGAGTTTGTTCTAGAAATGGTTAAAGCGTTTGCGGTGGTGGGGGTACAATACTAACTGTCTGTTGGTAATTTATGTTAATGGCACTACCCCCTCCACTCTGTCCCCTCCCTCCGAGCTAGTAGCCCTCCGGCCTTCCTCGTCTCTGCTTCTACGGTCTCTATATATAAATTGTCTTTAATCAGGTAAATATAACTTATACATCCATTATTACATACAATTTAAAAAATATAATAAAATAGTATTTAGCATAACTATATTTTTATAAGACATAATTGTCAGGAAAATTCTTTTAATATTTTATCAAATGTATTGCCTCTTAGGAATCAGCAATGAACATCATCTGCAAAATTGTGAAACCATTTAATTATAAAAGGGAAAGCGGTTAGATTTCATTTTAATGTAAATTTTATGCTCAGTTAATTATTATTTTCTCTATTCGATATTACATCTCTTGGTAGATGTAATATACTATATACTATTATCTAATATCTATATAGTATTTTTAAAAAATCGCGTCTCAATATAATAAAAATTAATTTTTTAAATATTTTTTGTCTCTCTTTGGAAAGTTTGGATTTTACGATTACGTGGTTTCACACTTTTGCCTACAATATTGTGTTAATTTGTTATTTTTAAGTAAGTCCATTTTTCAATGACTAATTCTTTAATGTAATCATTATTTTTGTATTGATTTTTAATTTTTAAATATCCTTATTAAAATTAAAATTTGGCTTTTATTGTACTGAATGTAGAAATATTTTTTTCTTAAAATTTTATTCATAATTTAAATTAAAAACTAAATTATAACAATAGGTGTATTACTATAATATTAAACATATAAAAAATTTTATGAAACTATTAAAATAAAAATATGATATTCTTATTTTACACCAAAATGAAGTATAATCATGAATATTAAGAATTCGTTAATATGTGTTATTTTATCAGGTATAGGTTTTTTTTTTAATATAATAAGAATAAATGGATTATTGGGAATACAAAGTATTCAATATCTTTAGTCCAAAGCCAAAGTGGATTATCTACAAATTTGGTTATTGAGTCTTGTTGCATTTTAACGTGGTTTTATTTTTTATATTAAATCCATTTTTCAATAACTTGTTCTTATTAGGTTTAAATAATTTAAATCGTAAATTTTTGAATTAAAAATTTATCAAAAAATTTGACTTATGAAACTAATATGCGCTAATATCAAATATAATCATGCATATTAAAAATTCGTTAATATATTTTCTTTTATAGCTATAGGTATTTAGCGATTTTTTTTTCAATAAGAGCTGGGATAAAAATATTCCTTATATTTGGTCCAGAGTGGAAAATACAGGCTTTTGTTAAAAAAAATTTTTAATTCCATAGTTACAAATATGATAGTTTGATTGCTGGAAATAAAAAATAATAAATAAATATAAGTAGTTATTCTCATTATTCTATTATAAAGGTAATACTGTATACTTATTTTTTTATTTATTTCAGAAATGAAAACTTTATAGATTAGAAATTTGCTTATTTTAAAATTAATGTTTGATAATTGTGTATTTGATTTTCAACAATAGTTGTCACATTTATTTATTATTTAATTTATTTTTTTAATATAAATAATTATTTTCCAAAACAAATTATACTTATTTGTATTATGATTATAAATATTTAAAAAAGTAATCTTCTCAAATATAAGGATGTAGTTAATATTTTATTGTACATCAAAATAAAATTGAAAAATATTATAAAATCTTCAGCCGGGTAAGGATCATTTCTTATCGAAGACATATTCTTATCCGCTGGAGCCAGCCGTCTCGCTGTCTCACTTCTATTTTGATAGTCATAGTATTTTGATAGTACTTTAAATTTTGTATTCTCGCAATCTTTGCTACTTTTGTAGTACGATTACTAATATTGTAGATGACGCGCCAGTTATGATTTTGAGAACGATTTTCTTATAGGGTAAGAGTATGTTTCGTTTGCAAAATTATCTTCCATTTTGCTGTCTTTAATATGTTTATAAATAGGTTGTAAAACAAAAACAAAAAATCGATAGAAGCTTCGTCGCCAAGGGTGTATTTTACAGTATTTTTAGGAAAAGTGATTTACTTGTTTTATTAAAGAATAAAAATTGCTAATACAATTTCGGTGGTAGGAAGAAAGAAGTTGATTAATCTAATGAAGAGGATTAATCTAACACCAATTCAATGCTCTATGGAAATATATTTATTTTCAACCCTCTTACTCAATTTTGGGAAACTGTGGAGGTAAACCAAACCTTAAAAACCACACACACACGCACAAAAGGATAGCGTTGAAAAAAGCTTTAAACCCTCAAAAAGCACTTCTCTAATATCAAATCAATTCATGTACCAAATTCCAACTCTTTAGCTGAATTTCGAAGAGGTTGTAGACATGCGCGAAGCTTTGAACAGACCACAATTTTGTCTGACATTCAACCCACCTTTACGTTGTAGTTCAACCAAGAAAGCAACACCGCATACTGAATTTCAGCTTAATTTGATCTTCAAGGACTGTTGAAAGTAGCCAAATGTATGTATACATAAAGGAAAATATGACAAAAATTTGTACCTAACTTCTAACGTCATAAAGAATAATTTCCAAAATATAGCAAAACCCTGTATGCTATGAATGTTCGTTGAGCACTCAGTGAGTTTGAACATTTTCATCATTAATGCATAACAACGATATTAGCTCCCGCAAAGTTTATGCAACATTCATTAATCATAGATGCGATAGATAGAGATCTTATGATGGAGATACTGTAGGTGTATTAGATATAGACTCATCATAGAATACACTATAGATAATCGAAGCTATTTTGGTAAATAGAGAATTAATGTATTAGAGATAAATTTATGTTTTAATATAATATTGTGATAAGAGTTTATTATCTATACCTAGATTATTTTTCTTATACTCTTTAATTTACTATTAATAACAGAGTATTATGGAATCTTACTTAAATTTCATATTTTGAGTTTTTTTAAGCCATTCTCTTACATTTTTGTAATTGAACGGTCTCTGATGAAACGAGAATATGAAGAACTAAAAAAATATTTTATGGTGGAATTATTCGGAGACCAATTTAATTTATGATAGTATTGATCGAAATCTACTTTAAGAGACTTTGGAGTTTTATTTATATCAGTATGTTTTTCATAAGTTATGGTAGAGTCTGATTTTCTGTTTTTTTCTCCGAATCATAAAATGAAGTGCATTTTTCGCGTAAGTTGTGTCCATAAATAAATTCATTTAAGTTCTAATCATTATAAAATACGTTGTTATTCATGTTTCATCATTTAACGTAGTTATAACCTGTTAAAATCTATTTTTTTCTGTATTATTATTAATTTTAGTTGTTGAATCATGATATGGAATATACTTATCTCTCATAAAGTTCATTAGTTCCTTAAATTATACATATCCTTAGCTTTTATGCTCTCGATAATTCGTTTTTCGAACGCGCAAGGCGATAAATCTCATAGCTATTAACAAATGCCTATAAAGTACTGGAAAGATAAGTTAACACACCTATAAACTGCATTAACTGCATAAGTTAATTTATTCACATTTTTTGTTTCAATTCCTTTAAAAGAGGTACTTATCTTATATTGTATAAGAAGTACTTATACGTTTTTGTAATCATATACCAAAGTATGCGGCATTTTACAAATTCAATAAAAAAAAAAATCTCAAAGAAAGAAACCCTCGTTTTTATGTTATTTGTCCGTTTACGGTTTCTCGGAGGATGTCTACAGGTCAAGGAAGTTTTTACCTTCAAAAGGTTTTCTTACCTCATCGTAAATCTTCTTGTCCTTCTTCCGTCTTGGTGACTTTAACTCACATTGTCAATAACTTTCTATGTTAAAAAATATTTTCTTCAGAGTAGTTGTTAATATCTTTGAAAATTATGAAAAATAGTTTTTTTTTTGAGAATTTAATTTTCTCTCAAATTATTATATTTATAATATATTGAAAAATGTATATTATCTTATTTATGCGCAATCAGATTATACTTTTCGTAATAATTTTTTTCTCTAGGATTGTTCTTAATATAATTTGTTAAAAGGCTTCGGGGAGAAAACTGTTGGCCGGTTACATCAAATTAGTTTTTTCTGCTATTGTGTAGCCAATATTGTGCACAGAGAGCCCGATTTAGTACACGTTCGCAGTGGGTCGAAACCAATAAAAAAGAAGAACAAAATAAAAAAGAAGAAACAAAATCCGTCATGTTTTAATCGGTGCTGAAGCAGTCAGATCCATAGTTTTCTTGCATCCAGGAAGCTCTGAAACTCAAGAATTCGTTGAAAATTGTCGATGATATATTTGTCCCGATCACTATAACACTAATTGACACTTGTTTATTCTATGAACATATATATTATTTCAATTTATAATATATGAATATTTAATAATTTATAACTTTAAATTCTTTTAATATATTATAAATTTAGCATCACTAAAATTGTAAAATTTTAATAATTTATATGAGTATAGTAACGTGTGTATGCTATATTTTTAAATATCTAGTTGTTCTACAAAAATATAATAATACGACAATAAACGTTAAAAACAATACTGAACTATAACCGAAAATGATGAGATTGAATTTCGTTTAGTTATAAGAAAAGAAAAATGGATAAATGTATAGCATTACAATTTATCTTTATTTTTAATAAGTGAATTTAAAGAATTATTTATTAAAAATATTTCTTTTAACTTTAATACATTAAATATCCATTTCAATTATAAATCCGTACTAAACTGCACTTTCAATTAAAAAATGAAATAATATACAAAGGAATAAAAATAACTCGATATGAGGCATTCGGTTTTAAAACCGGTTTTTGAAGAAGTGTTTAACAGCCTTATTTAAAAAAAAATTGCTACCTTTCCGACAGACTTGATTAGTGTTTCTTGTTTTATCAAAAGATCGCGACGGGTTTAAAACTAAACACGAATACAGATGCGTTTAATTTTGGTGTTGGAGCACATTAAAAAAAAAAAAAAAAATCTATTTATTGAAAATATTTTACAAATAGCAATTAGTAAAGTAACAATATAACTGATTTTCAATGTTTGAAAAACATACGCCGCATTTATTACTATATAAGAAGAAAATTAAAACCAACAAAGATTTTTGAATAGAATAAAGTGTTAT